TGTATTTACTATTTTACATTCCCACCAGCTATGTATGTAGGTTCCAGTTTACCCAAATTCTCGACAAAACATTTTATTGTTCCCTAATTATTTTTTTTATTGTGGTAAAATAAAAATAATGTAAAATTTACCATTTTAACTATTTGTAAGTATACACTTTGATGCCATTAAGTACATTCACAGTGTTGTAACCATTATCATTATCCATCTGGAGAAGTTTTTTATAATCCCTTACTGAAACTCTACCCATTAAATAATAATTCTCCATCTGCTTTTCTCCCCAGCCTCTGATAATCACTATTCTACTTTCTGTCTCTGCATTTGACTGTTCTAGAATCCTCAGAATTGGAATCATATAACACTTGTCATTTTGTGTCTGGCTTATTTCACGCTGCATGATGTCTTCAAGGTTCATCCATGTTGTAGCATCTATCACAATTTCATTTCTCTGTAAAGCTGAGTAATAATCCATTATATGTATATACTACTTCTTGTTTATCCATTCATCTGTCAATGGACATTTGGGTTGTTTCCACCTTTTGGCTACCGTGAATAATGCTATTATGAGCATGGGTGTACAAATATCTCTTTGAGTCTTTGCTTTCAGTTCTTTTGGGTATATCTGTAGGAATGGAATTACTGAATCCCATGGTAATTCTCTGCTTAACTTTTTGAAGAACTGCCATACTGTTCACTGTGGCTATATTATTTTACATTCCCAACAGCAGTGCACAAGGGTTCCAGTTTCTCCACATCCTTGCCAACATTTGTTATTTTCTGTGTGTATACACACACACATACACACATGTATATAAAATATACACACACACATATATATTAGCCATATTAACAGACGTGAAGTGGAATATTGTGGTTTGAATTTTTATTTCCTGACATGTTGAACATCTTTTCATGTGCTTATTGGCCATTGGTATGTCTTCTATAGAGATATGTCTATTCAAGTCCTTTGCTTATTTTTGAATTGGATTGTTTGTTTTCTTATTGTTGAGTTGTAGGAATTCTTTATATATTCTGGATATTAACCCTTTATCAGATACATAATTAGAAAATATTTTTTCCTGTTCTGCAGGTTGTCTTTTTATTCTGCTGATAGTGTTCTTTGATGTACCAAAGCTTTTATTTATTTTTAATTTTTCTTTTTTTTTTTTGGCCACACTGCTTGGCTTGCAGGATCTTAGTTCCCTGACCAGGGATAAAACCCTGGCCCTGGCAGTGAGAGTGCTGAGTCCTAACCACTGGACTGCCAGGGAATTCCCCCAGAAGCTTTTAATTTTGATGAAATCCAATTATTTGTCTATTTTTTTCCTTTGTTGCCTGTGCTTTTGGTATCCTGTCCCAGAAATCATTGCTAAATCCTAAGTCGTGAAGCTTTTACCCTATGTTTTCGTCTGAGAATTTTATAGTTTTAGATCTTACATTTAAGTCATGTATTCATTTTGAGTTAATTTTTGTGTATGGTGTTAGGTAAAGGGTCCAGCTTCATTTTTTTTGCAAGTGGATATCCAGCTTTCCCAGCACTATTTGTTGAAAAGACTGTCTTTTCCCCATTGAATAGTCTTGGCACCTTTTTATGGGCAAAATTCATTTGCCCATATATGTGAAGGTTTATTTCTAGACTTCCTATTCTATTCTATTGATCTATATGTTCATCTTTATGCCAGTACCACAATGCTTCGATTATTGTAACTTTGTATAAGTTTTGAAATCAGGAAGTATGAGTACTCCAAATTTGTTCTTCTTTTTCAAGATTATTTTGGCTTTTCAGGGTCCCTTGAGATTCCATATAAATTTTAAGATGAGTTTTACTATTTCTGCAAAAAAAACGGCATTGGAATTTTGATAGGGCTTGCATTTAATCTCTAGATCACTTTAGGTAGTATTGCCATCTTATGAGTATTAAATCTTACAGTCTGTAAATACCTGATGTTTTTCCATTTACCTATGTCTTCTTTACTTTCTGCAGTGTTTGTAGTTTTCAGTGTACAAATCTTTTACCTCCTTTGAGTTAATTCCTAAGTATTTTATTCTTTTTGATGCTATCGTAAATTAAATCCTTTTCTGTATTTCTGTTTTGGCTTGTTCATTGTTAGAGGATAAAAACACAACTTTTTTTGTGTTGATTTTTTATCCTGCTACTTTGCTGAATTTGTGTATTCTAACAATTTTTTTGTGGAACCTTTACATTTTCTACATATAAGATCATCTGTTGTCATCTGTTGCAGACTATTATATATATAATGGATAAACAAGATCCTACCGTATAGCACAGGGAACTATATTCAATATCCTGTGATAAACCATAAATAATGGAAAAGAATATGAAAAGAATGTATGTATGTGTAACTCAAATCACTTTGCTGTACAGCAGAAATTAACCCAACATTGTAAATCAACTATACTTCAAAAAAATAAATTTTTAAGAAAGGTCATGTCATCTGTGACTGAGATCATTTTACTTTTTCCTTTCCAATTTAGATATCTTTTATTTATTTTTCTTGCCTGATTGCTCTGGCTAGAAATTCCAATACTGTGTTGGGTTGAAGTGGTAAAAGTGGGCATCCTTATCTTGTTCCTGATCTCAGAGGAAAAGATTATAGTCTTTAACCATTGAGTATGATGTTAACTATGGGTTCTTTAAGGATGGTCTTTATTGTGTTGGGGTATTTTCCTTCCAGTCCCAGTTTATTAAGTGTTTTGGGGTTTTTTTAATCATGAAAAGGTGTTGAATTTTGAATTTTGTCAGATGCTTTTTTCTACATCACTTGAGATGATCATGTGATTTTGTGTCTTCTTTCTGTTAATGTGATGTGTTGCTTTAATTGGTTTTCATATGTTGAACCATTCTTGCATTCCAAGGATAAATCTCATGGTGTATAATCATTCTAATATTCTGAATTCTCTTTGCCTAGTACTTTATTGAGGATTTTAAAATCAATATTCACAAGGAATATTGGTCTTTAGTTTTCTATTCTTATAGGGTTTTTGTCTGGCTTTATTATCAGGGCAATGCTGGCCCCATAGAATAAGTTAGGAAATATTGCCTCCTCTTTAGTTTTTTGGAAGAATTTCAGAAGGAGTGGTGTTAGTTCATCTTTAATATTTGATAGACAATAAAACTATCTGGTACAGAGCATTTTTACTATTGGGAGGCTTTGATTACTGGTTCAATTGTTTTACTAGTTATATGTCTGTTCAGATTTTCTACTTCATAATTCAGTTTGGGTAAGTTTTGTGTTTCTCGGAATTTGTCCATATCATCTAGGCTATACAATTTTTTGTCATACAGTTATCCATGGTTTTTCCTTATAATCCTTTTTGTTTCTTTTGACTCCATGGTAATGTTGCCAACTTGCATTTCTGATTTTAGTACTTTGTGTCTTCTCTCTTTTATTTTTAGTCAGTCTCACTAAAGTTTTGTCAATTTTGTAGATCTTTTCAAATAACTGATTTTGCATTTGTTGATTTTTTTCTCTACTGTTTTTCTATTTTATGTATCTAAGTTCTTGTCTTTATTATTTCTTCCTTCTGCTAGCTTTGGGTTTAGTTTGGTTTTTTTTCTAGTTCTTTAAGTTGTAAAGTTATGTTGTTAATTACAGCAGGATTTAAAATATCTTTATATTTCTTAATCCTTATATTTTTATAACATTGAAGTGTTTTATCCAAGAATAGGAGAGGTTTTTCAGGTGACTTTAATGTTATTCAAGACTGTTCTAGGGACTTCCCTGGCAGTCCAGTGGTTAAGACTTCACCTTCCAATACAGGGGGTGCGTGTTTGATCCCTGGTCAGGGAGCTAAGATCCCACATACCTCGGGGCCAAAAAACCAAAACATAAAACAGAAGCAATATTGTAACAAACTCAATAAAGACTTTAAAACTGGTCCACAACAACAATAAAAAAAATCTTAAAAAAATTTTTTTAAAGACTTTAAAATTTTTTCCCATATAAGTTTTTCATATTTCTTGTGAATTCATTTCCCTAAATCTTTGTATAAATGAAGATTATTGATTTTAGTGTGTTAATTTTATATTCTGGTATGTCACTGATCAAGGTTTATCATTGATTCTCTGAGGTTTAATTTCAGTTATAGTATTATATCATCAGCAAATAGAGATAGTTTTATTTCTTCTTTACTCATGCTTATGCCTCTAATTGATTTTGCTTGTGTACTTGTGTTGGTTGATACATCTAGTACAATGTTGAACAGAAGTGAAAGTAATGGGCATCCTTGCCTTGTTCTTGATCATAGTGGAAATGTCTCTAGAGTTTCTTCATTAAATAAGATACTGGCTTTAGGACTAAAGTATATGTATTTATCTTGTTGAGGAAGCATCCCTCAATTCCTGTTTTTCTTGAATATTTTTATTTTTATTATCAGTGGTGCTGAATTTTTTTAAGGCTTTCTCATTATCTCTAGATATACTCATAATTTTTTCCCTTAGGTACATATTATAATATACTGTGGTTAAGTGGTATAATAAGGGGAATAGATTTTTGGAGCTCAGAGTCAGGAAAGGGTGCAAAGAGGAGCTTAACACTGGAACTGAATCTGAAGGCTACAGAGAAGTTTGACATGTAGGAAGAGTAGGGAAGACATTCAAGATTAGAAATAATTACAGAAATGAGAGTGATGTCATGGAGATAATGTATGAGTCTGTCATAGGCTTTGGATACTAGACTGCATTTCCCAATTCATACTCCTCCTCTGATGCCTTCTCTCCATTCTCCTGGTAATGTGTATACTCTCACCTTCTTTAAATGAGCATCTTTGTTTTATTCACCCTAGTACTCCAGCTCTCATCCATTATTATTTTATACGGTGACACTGTTACTTTCCTATTTTTTCCTCTTGCTATAGGTTCTTTTAGCCAGAAAGCAATGCCTTATTTAGATATCATTAATATTTAGTCCTTCTACACATTTAGTCTCAGCTAATCATGTGGATCATTGGCAATTTCTTTCTTTTTTTGTTTTCTTCAGGATGTAAGAGCAGTCCTAAAACCACAAAGTCAACTCAAACTCAAGACTCATCATTTTGGGGGCCAGTAAGGAAAAGACTCCAAAAAAATGAACCCTGGAACTTCATATCAGAAAAATCCTGCTTATATGAAGACAGAATAAAGAAACAGAAGGACAAAAATGAAAGTTTACAAATAATTTCAGTCACCCATACAAAGATCCTCACTGTAGAAAGAAGCCATAAAAATAATGACTTTGGCCAGAATTTCAGCCTGAAATCAGTGTTTGTTAAGCAACAAAAGACTGCTAGAGAAAAAACACCCTCAAAATATGAAATACAAAGAAATAGCTTCAGGCAGGATTCAAATTTACTTAACCAACCAAAAATCAAGACAGCAGAAAAACGCTATAAATGTAACATTTGTGAAAAAGCCTTCATTCACAATTCATCCCTTCGTAAACATCAGAAAAACCATACTGGAGAGAAATTATTTAAATGTAAAGAATGTTTGAAAGCCTTCAGCCAAAGTTCAGCTCTTATTCAACATCAAAGAACTCATACTGGAGAGAAACCCTATATATGTAAAGAATGTGGAAAAGCCTTCAGCCATAGTGCATCCCTTTGTAAACACCTAAGAACCCATACTGTGGAAAAATCCTATAGATGTAAAGAATGTGGTAAATCCTTCAGCAGAAGGTCTACCCTTTTTATACATCAAAAAATCCACGCTCGAGAAAATCCCCACAAATATAACCCAGGAAGGAAGGCATCCAGTTGTAGCACATCCCCTTCTGGATGTCAGAGAATTCATCTCAGAAAGAAGTCCTATTTATGTAATGAATGTGGCAATACCTTTAAGTCTAGTTCATCTCTTCGTTATCATCAGAGAATTCACACAGGAGAGAAACCTTTTAAATGTAGTGAATGTGGGAGAGCGTTCAGTCAGAGTGCATCTCTTATTCAACATGAAAGAATTCACACTGGAGAAAAGCCTTATAGATGTAATGAATGTGGAAAAGGTTTCACTTCTATTTCACGACTTAATAGACACCGAATAATTCATACTGGAGAGAAACTGTATAATTGTAATGAATGTGGTAAAGCCTTAAGTTCCCACTCGACACTCATTATTCATGAGCGCATTCATACTGGAGAGAAACCATGTAAGTGTAAAGTGTGTGGGAAAGCCTTCAGACAAAGTTCAGCTCTCATTCAACATCAGAGAATGCATACTGGAGAAAGACCCTATAAATGTAATGAGTGTGGGAAAACATTCAGGTGTAACTCATCCCTTAGTAATCACCAGAGAATTCATACAGGAGAGAAACCGTATCAATGTCTGGAATGTGGGATATCCTTTGGCCAAAGTGCAGCTCTTATTCAACATCAAAGAATTCATACAGGAGAAAAACCCTTTGCATGTAGTACATGTGGGAAAACTTTTAGGCAGAGCTCATCACTTATTGCGCATCAAAGAATTCATACTGGAGAGAAACCCTATGAATGTAATGCATGTGGGAAACTCTTCAGCCAGAGGTCGTCCCTTACTAACCATTATAAAATTCACATTGAAGAGAACTCCTTCAAAGTGGATTTGCATGTGTGAAATCCTTAAACCAAAGCTTATTAGAATACAGTTGGCCTTGCTTATCTCTGGGTTCCACATCCACTGATTCAAATAACTGCAAATTTTAAATATTCAGAAAAAAAATTCCAGTAAGTTCCAAAAAGCAAAATTTAAATTTACCACACACCAGCAACTATTTTCATGGCATTTGCATTGTATTAGGTATTACAAGTAATTTAGAGAGGATGTGCATAGGTTATATCTAAATTCTACACCATTTTATATAAGGGAATTGATCATCCTCAGATTTTGGTATCTGTTGGGGGGGGGTCCTGGAAACAGTCCCCAATAGATACTGAGGGACAACTGTATACATACTAGAGAATGATTTAGTAAATGTAATGAATATGATAAAATTTCTATTTTAATTTAGTCCTCACAGTTATTAAAGTCTAAGGATAAATCTTGACTGTGTAATAAATACGTGGGACACTTTCATACCTGTCAGTCACTTTTTTAAATATCCTGAGACAAATCACAAAATACTGATTTTGGCCATTTGTAAGATAAAAGGTAAGGTTTTTCTCTTATACAGCATTATACACTTTATGCAACACATAAACAGAAAAATTTGGATGCAGGGGTACTGGATTTCTCATTAGAAACCAACTGTATAAGCTAATAGCATATTTATTACAACTAACATTTTAATAGCAAACAAAATCTTAAAATATATGCACTTATAGAGCCAAGGACCAAATAATAGATAAAAATAAACTGCAAACTACCTCAGTCTGGAACTTGCCTTTTCTTAAACTATTGTCAAACTTTGTACATGGTTTTCATCAAAAAAGAGGCAAAACAAAAACAAAACCCTCTGTTCTCTTCCTCCTTTATTTTTCTAGTTACTTCCAAACTACACATGTTTCCCAAATTTTTATGCAATTTCTAATTTTGTTTTTAGAATTATTTTTCTTTGTATTGAAGTCATATTTATTCTATAACTGTACTTGCTATGTTCTATACAGCGTGCTAATTTAAGTAGGAAAAATATACTTTGATTAGGTAATCACTTTGAAGTTAAAGCTGTTTTTTTAGTTCACTGCAGAAGAATTCCTAAGAACCTATCACCTGTAGCAAAGTCTTAAAAAGGGATCAACTTCATGAAATAAAAGCATGTTTTCCCCACTTGAGGTTTTCTAATTTTTTAAAATCTCAGACTCCAAAGGAAAATAAAAGAAGGGAAAGAATTCTAAACCATTTAAAAGCCAGTTTACTCAGTAAATGTTTCTTTAACCCCTGAGCCAGGTATTATCCCAGGCACTGGAAATTGTTCAGGAGAAAAGAACAGGCCTTCAAGAAGTCATGAATTGAGGGGCAAAAGGAGAGGGTTGAAGAGGTAACAAAGTAAGTAAATTACCATGTGTTAGAGTAGTTTTCACAGAGAAATAGATGATACAATGATACTATGTTACCGAACACAAATACTGTAGAGATTTGTGCAGGATGTGGAAAGAAAGAATGGACCTAACGAAGGGAACCCCAAAGGAGCAGGGACAGTCATTCCTGAGCCCAATTTTGGAAGAATAATGGAAATTCTCCAGAGAGTGAGATGAGTGCTTCAAGGGGAGGGAGCCACATAAGCAAAGGTAAAGGTGGGTGACAGCATGACATGTTTGTAGAACACCTGTTAAGTTGTGAGAATGACAGGTTGAAGCTTGAAAAGAAGGCAGAACTGAAGGTCTTACTGCCATCCTAAAGAACTTGAATTTGATTCTGAAATTTCTAGAACCAATGAAAGATTTTATATAAGGGAAATTGTTCTGGCAGTAAGGTGTAGAGACTGAATTTAGGAGGTTGAAGACAGCTGAACAGACAAACCTAGAAGACTAGAGCCAGAAGACTAGAATTCAGAGTAATTACACAGTTGGTAGTCAAAACCACACTATGTGAACTTGGCCAGCAGAGTGTACAGATTAGAATGAGAAGCAGGGATCATGGATAAACCCTACAAAAAATATCAGTAAATAAGGAGTTGGTAGAGGAAAAGGAATTTAACTAAGATGAAATGGAATGGCCCTAGAGGTAGGAGAAAAGCCAGAAGAGTGATGTTACTGAGCCCAAAGGAGAACTGAATCTCTGTAGTGTCGGGTGCCACAGATCACATAACAGAGTAAATTGGAATTGGTAGCTAGAATGTTGGAGACCTTGGCAAGAGCAATTTCTGTTAATTAGGGTGAACAGAAGCCACATTATTCTAGGTTAGAAGATGAGAACTAGTGCGCTGTTTTACACTATGTTTCAAGAAGTTTAAATGAAGGGAAGAAAAGAGGGTTGCATTTAGAAGGGAGAAAATTACTTAGGGAGCATTTCTGTGTTAAGTGAGGCAATGTATACACATGTTGAAGATGAACTAATGAGATCATTGTGTGGAACATATTTTCTGAGAGATTCTGAAAGAATTAGAGCATAGGTGGAAGACTTTACCTTAGGCTGGAGAGAAAGGTAGCCTACAGAAAGATAGGAATGCAGATAAGTTTCTGTTATAATTTGAAGGTGAAGGAATTTCTATCTGCTGACCTTATTTTCTGTAAAGCCGGAGAAAGATTTCACTTTTTTAAGATGTTGACTATAGTAGCAATTTTTGGATCTTTGGGTGCTTAAAAATGTTAATGAGTTTCAATCTGTGTTTTGGAGACTTTTTAGGAAGTCATGGCTCTGAGTTCACTCTATACTCATGTTTCAGTAAGAAAGCTCCACTTTTATTCTATATGTTTGATATCTGTTACTTTTTGTGTTTTTTTTTAAGAAAAGAATTTGCTGGTAAATTAAAGTTTAAAAAGTACTTAGGATAAGAAAGAATGCTTTAAAAGAGTGATAAGTCTGAACAGAGACTGGAAAGGATTATAGGAGTTCAACAAGTGCGTGGAGGTAGATGGAAAGACATTCACGTAGGGGAAAAGTTTGTGCAATGGAAAGGAAGCATAAGAGGACATGATGTCCTCACTGTACTCTTGTAAGTAGTATTTTCTAAACTTCATTTTCCAATTATTTGTTACTAGTACATAGAAACAAATTGATTTTTATATATTGACCGTATAGCCAATAACCTTGCTAAATTGACTTTTTCTAATAGCTTGTTTGTAGATTCTTTGGAATTTTCTGCAAACACAATGATCATCTGTAAATAATGACCATTTTATTTTTCTCTTCTAGTTGTAATACATTTAAAATTTTCTTCTTACATTATAGTACTATATACAAGCCAGTACAATGTTGAATATGAATGATGGCATTCATTTTTCACCATTTAATGATGTTACCTTTAATTTGTCTGTGGATATCTGTTATCAAAATAGAAACATACCCCTGTATTCCCAGTGTGCTGTGAGTTTTTATCATAAATGGGAGTAGTATTTTGTCATATTTATTTTCTGCATTTAGTGAAATAATCATAATTTCTCTCTTCACACTTTTAATAGGTGATTATATGGACTGAATTTTTATGCTAACCGATGTGTTCCTGAAATAAATTCTACCTGGTCATGATACATCATCATCTACGTTGTATGTGTTTATAAGATCAGGTTTCTTCCTTAATAAGTAGAAGCTTGATGAAGTGACCAATATGTGTTTAAGAACTCAGAGCAAATTTTTTTATCATCCAAATCTGAAGGATGAATGGAATCATAATACCTAGAGAGAGGAAGGGGATGGCAAGGACAAGAGTACCACAGGAGCAAAAGGCTCAGAAGGAGAGTGTATGTAGCATCTGTAGAGACCAGCAGATAAACAAGCCTTGCTGATGTGGAGGATTCCTGGTAGGATAAAAGAAAAAATAATATTGGCAATGAAAACTAGAGTTAGGTTATTAGAAACTTTAAATGCTATCTGAGAGTACAGGAATTTGGATATGATCCTTAGATATTAAATCAGTATATTTCTGAGGAGCAAATGGCCAATTTGAAACCTGTTTTAGGAAGACTGATGGGACAGAAGGTTCAAAGTTTCTGGCTTGAGAAACTGGCTGAAGGATGGATTCTTGAGAATAGTAGTTTGGGACAGTCTGTGAGAAATGTTTAGTGAAAAGATAAAAAAACAAAAACAAAACCAGAGGTTAGCTCTGCTCTTAGTGCTTGACAATTGTCCTGCACAAACTGACATACCACAGATGCTAAAATTCTTCAAGCTGATGGTGTTATTTTCTTTTTAATTAAGGTGCAGTTATGCTTTCAAAATGAGAACATATAATTTCAGTTAGTATTGTAAGTCAGTATGCTTCAGGTTATAAAAACAGTTGTTTAAGGAATACAACTTTCAAGAACTATTTTTAAAGTTTTTTTTTGTTGTTTTCTTTGAGAGAGAGAACTTTCAATGAGAGCATTGGACAAAAAGTCAAGAGACCTGTGTGTTTTCCTGCCCCCATTCTGGTTCAAGTTACATAGTCCCTGGCCTTTTCAACCCTAGAAATTCCACTGTGTTTTTTCATATACTGCTTTACGGTTCCTAATGGTATAGATTAACTCAAATTTTTAAATGTTCATCTTATGTATTTTGGGGGTAGAAACATCATTAGTAACAATATTAGCATATATTGTTGGATAAAATAGTCAAGTTATAGATTACAAACTAAAATTTTCAATCTAAAAATCAAATTGTTCTAGGAAGATGGAGTAGGCAGATATATACTTTTTGCTATTTGCCCACTAAGTACATTTTAAACCCCTGTATATTATATTTAAAACAATCACAAGAAGATTCTGAAGAATGGAGAGAAGCATATAGGCCAGCTAGGAACCTCAGGACCGGTGATACGGTAGTTCTTTTTGCCTCATATATCCCAAGTGTAGAGCTGAAGTAGCAGGAACCCAGAAACAGCAAGAGACATAGACACAAAAAAATTTACAAAACCCCAACAAAGCCTACTTTCATTAGCCAAAGGACCAGGAACAGGGTGCCCTAGCAAGACAGAAAACTCTTAGATAATAACACTCTACTCCAGCCAAACAACACGGAAAAAACTGGTCCCATCACTACACACACCAGCAAAGGCTGAGTGGAGAGCCTAGACTTCCACCCTTATAAGGCTGTAAAGAGGGGCCATAAAACTTTGCTGGTGTGTGTAGTGCCAAGAGCTAGGACATTCATTCATGCCCGGTGGTAATAACCTCTCTTCCCAGCAATAATAGTGGAGACTACATGGGGAACTGGGACACCACCCTCCCTTCCACTCAGTACTAAGAGCATCGCATCCTCTCCCTGCTGGGGTGGCATCAGAGGGGGCCTAGTGTAGGGACAGAATTTTTACCACTGCCCAACAGTGATGAGGCCACACTCCCACCCCATAGTGCCATAGGAGGCCAAGTAGGGAGCATACAAGGCACTCTTATCTGTCTCAGCCAGAGTGATATCAGTGAAGGCTTAGTGAGGAACTAGAAATCCCACCCTCATCAAGGAATAAAAAGGAGACCCTTAACTCCTTGGGTGTCTAGGGAGGCCAAATAGGAAAGCTGAGCTTCTACCCCACATGGCCATTATGAGGTGGAACTTCATAATGCCATATTTGCTGTAGCAGTATCAAAGCAAGTCAGCTGAAGCAAAAGATTCAAATAAGATCCGGAGCTTCATAACATAATACCCAAGTTTTCCAGGATTCAACAAAAGACTTTCATCATACCAAGAACCAGGAAGATCACTTGAATGAAAAAGACAATTAGTAAACATTAAGAATTAGGCGACAGAGATGTTAAAATAATCTAACAAAGATTTTTATAGCAGCAATCATAAAAATACTTTGATGAGCAATTTCAAAAATGTTTGAAACAGGGCTTCCCTGGTGGCACAGTGGTTGAGAGTCCAGCTGCCGATGCAGGGGACGTGGGTTCGTGCCCCGGTCCGGGAAAATCCCACGTGCCGCAGAGCAGCTGGGCCTGTGAGCCATGGCCGCTGAGCCTGCGCGTCCATAGCCTGTGCTCCGCAACAGGAGGTCCGTGTACTGAAAAAAAAAAAGTTTGAAACAAAAAATAGAGCCTTATCAAAGAAATTTAAGTCTCAGCAAAGAAGTAGAAAAGATAAAAAAGAAACAAATGGAAATTTTGGAACTGAAAACATGCAGTAACAGAAATTTTAAAAATTCACTGTATGGGCTCAAGAACAGAACTGAGTGTATAGAGAATATATATGAACTTAAAGTTAGTCTCCTGAGTCCTGTTTAAAAATATTGGTTCCTGGGACTTCCCTGGTGGTGCAGTGGTTAAGAATCTGCCTGCCAGTGCAAGGGACACAGGTTCGAGCCCTGGTCCGGGAAGATCCCACATACCGCGGAGCAGCTAATCCTGTGTGCCACAACTACTGAGCCTGAACTCTAGAGCCCACAAACCACAACTACTAAAGCCCACGTGCCTAGATCCCGTGCTCTGCAACAAGAGAAGCCACCGCAGTGAGAAGCCCATGCACCACAACAAAGAGTAGCCCCTGTTTGCCACAACTAGAGAAAGCCCACACGCAGCAACGAAGACCCAACACAGCCAAAAATAATAAATAAAAATGCATAAATTTATTTTTAAAAATCCTTTGTTCATTTAAAAAGATTATATCAGAAAATGAAGACATTATTTATTAATGAATTAATTTACTTATTCAATTTATTTTACCATCAAAAACAGTCCATTCTTTCTTTGCCCACTCTTAATTGGATTATTTGTCTTATTATTGAGTTGTGAGTTCTCTGTATGTTCCAGATACTAGTTCCATGTCAGATATATGATTTACAATCATTTTTTCCTATTGTGTGAGTTAACTTTTTTCAGTAAGCGGGCCTCTCACTGTTGTGGCCTCTCCCGTAGCGGAGCACAGGCTCCGGACGCGCAGGCCCAGCGGCCATGGCTCACGGGCCTAGCCACTCCGCGGCATGTGGGATCTTCCCAGACCGGGGCACGAACCCGTGTCCCCTGCATCGGCAGGCGGACTCTCAACCACTGTGCCACCAGGGAAGCCCAAACTTTTCATTTTTTGATGGTATACTTTGAAACACAAACATTTATCTCGAAGTACTTTCTAATATCTCTTTTGAATTGTTCTTTGACCCATTGATCTTTTTAAGAGTGTGTAGTTTAATATCCGCATATTTGTGAGTTTTCCATACTCTTGTTATTGATTTTTAATTTCATTCCATTGTGGTTGGATAACATACATTGTATTACTTCAATACTTTTAATTTATTTAGGGTTTTCTGTTTTTGTTTTTGTTTGTTTCTTTTTGTCTAGTACATGATCTATCCTTGAGAATTTTTCATGTGCCCTTGAGATTATATAATCTGTGTTGCTGGGGGAATTGTTTTACCAATATCTGTTAGGTCTAATTTGTTTATAGTGTTGTTCAAGTCTTCTCTTTCCCTGTTTATATTCTGCCTGGTTGTTCTGTTGTTGAAATGGGATGTTAAAGTCTCCAAGTATTAATATTTAACTATTAGTTCTTCCTTCACTTCTGTCAGCTTTTGGTTCATGTTTTTGGAGCTCTGTTTTTTTTTTGTTGTTGGTTGGTTTTTTAATGTCTTTATTGGGCTATAATTACTTTACAATGTTGTGTTATTTTCTGCTATACAACACACAAAGCAAATCAGCTATATGTATACATATATCACAATATCCCCTCCCTCTTGAGCCTCCCTCCCACCCTCCCTATCCCACCCCTCTAGGTCGTCACAAAGCATCAAGCTGATCTCCCTGTGCTATGCAACAACTTCCCACTAGCCATCCATTTTACATTTGGTAGTGTATGTATGTTAATGCTACTCTCTCACTTCGTCCCAGCTTCCGCTTCCCTCCTGTGTCCTCAGGTGCATTCTCTATGTCTGTGTCTTTATTCCTTCCCTGCCACTAGGTTCATAAGTACCATTTTTTAGATTTCATATATGTGTGTTAGCATCTGGTATTTGTTTTTCTCTTTCTGACTTACTTCACTCTGTGTGACAGTCTCTAGGTCCATCTACCTCATTACAAATAACTCAATTTCATTCCTTTCTATGGCTGAGTAATATTCCATTGTATGTATGTGCCACATCTTCTTTATCCATTCATCTGACGATGGACATTTTTTTAGTTTGCTTCCATGTCCTGGCTATTGTAAATAGTGTTGCAATGAACATTGTGATACATGTATCTTTTTAAGTTATGGTTTTCTCAAGGTATATGCTGAATAGTGGGATTGCTGGGTCCTATGGTAGTTCTATTTTTAGTTTTTTAAGGAACCTCCATACTGTTCTCCATATTGGCTGTATCAATTTATATTCCCACCAACAGTGCAGGAGGGTTCCCATTTCTCCACACCTTCTCCAGCATTTATTGTTTGTAGATATTTTGATGATGGCCACTCTGGTGTGAGGTGATACCTCATTGTGGCTTTGATATGCATTTCTCTAATGATTAGTGATGTTGAGCATCTTTTCCTGTGTTTGTTGGGAATCTGTATGTCTTCTTTGGAGAAATGTCTCTTTAGGTCTTCTGCCGATTTTTGGACTGGCTTGTTTGTGTTTTTTATATTGAGCTGCATG